CAAGTACAAGCAAAAATGGAAGTTCTTTGAAGCTGGCAGATTTGTTTATCAGGGGATTTATGAAGAAGGAAAAGAGGATTTGTTGTTTGTTTTCTGTTTAGTCTAGGGATTCTCAGAACTCACCTGATTCTGGCATAAGTGTCCATTGACTAAAGCCAGAATGATTTTACTTTCTCAGTTAACTTTCTCTGTCAAAATGTGAAGTTGAGTGCCTGGCTCATAGTAGAGTGCAAGGCTCTGGGTTCAATCCCTGATATTAGACAAGAAGGTGAGTTGTCAACTTGGTTCCCCCCAAATCCTTTGCCCATTGAGGACCCTATTTCTGAACAGGCCACTGCCATCATGAGATGCCTACAGGTTGTCACTGAATTTTGTGGTTCAAGGCTAGCACTGTACTACTGAGTCATGGCTCCAGTTTCAGCTTTTTGGTGGTTAATTGGAGATAAGAGGCTCATAGAACTTTCCTTCTTGGGTTGGCTTTGATCTACAACCTTTAGATCTGAGAAGCTTAAGATTACAGGCATGAGACTCCAGCACCCAGCTTCAGCCCTGTGTTTTGTGAGTTAATTGAAGTTGAAGTCTCAGACTTTGCTGCCTGGGCCGGTTTTGAACTGTGATCCTCTGGATCTCTTTGCCTCAAGGGTAGCTATTACAGATGTGAGCCACCAGCACTAGGCCTGTTAGTTATCTCACTTCTTTGGGTGGCTGTGAAACAAATTGGAATCATACATGAACAGCTAGCAGAAATCTAGAAAAGAACATGAGTTTTTTTAGCCAGACCATCTGTGGGCAAAGTACTTAATCACAGATGCCTGAAAGTTACTGACTTGCTACATTTTCCCAGCCTTGCTCTTAGCTCAAAGTTCCCTTTACTTGGTTATCCATTGAATCTTCCAGTACCAGCATTATTTGAGCGGTAGCTGGTGAAAACAGGGAGCTGATCAGTGGCTATTTTCATTTATATATTAAAAAGAGGTTTACATGTGGTAAACTACTTGTAATATGAAATTCACCACTTTAATATATATGGTTAAAATATATTGTATAAAATATAAACTATATATGGGCTAAAATGGTGAATATGTGTGTATGTGTACATATATATTTGTTTATATATGTTTTTGTATTGGTGTTGGGGCTTAAACTCAAGGCCTCTGGCTTGACTTTTTACTCAAGGCTGGTGTTCTACCATTTGAGCCACACCTCCATGTCCAGATTTTTGCTGGTTAGAGATATAAGTCTCTTGGACCAGTCTGTATAGACTGGTTTTGAACCACCATCTTCAGATCTTAGCCTCCTGAGTAGCTAGGATTACAAGCATGAGCCACCAGCACCCAGACAATTTAACCCTTTTTGATTGTACAGGACAGTGGTATTATATACATTCACACATGCATAGCTGTCATAGCCACATCTATAACTTTTTCATCTGTCCAAACTCTGATCCATGAAAGATTAACTTCCCATTCTTCCCTCTCCCTCGGCCCCTACTAGCTCTGTCATTATCCATCACTGGGAGTTTGACTGCCCTCAGTACCTCATGTAAGTAGAATAGTATGTACAGTATCTGTACACTCTCTTGAGCTGCACTGCTGTTTACCAGCCCATCCCAGCAGAACAGGCAAGCCCAGTGGATGCACAGTAGAGGGGTATAGACACAGGGGTACAGGCTTGTAGAATGACCTGGGCTAGCCTGGCCATGGCTGTTAGGGTTTTGCAGATGTCCTGGGCTAGCTCAACCAAGGCTGTAAGAGAGATGGGCTGCTACAGTGCCAACTTTGCAAGAACCAGGTGGTTCCTGTCTAGACACTAGCTGATTATGTAATTTTACTCAACCTCCATGCACCAGATGTTTGTATTGCACCCGAAATCTGATGAAATTTTTGTACCTTTTTTTTTTTTTGGTGGTTGTTATTTTGGCAGTGCTGGGGATAGAACCCAGGGCCTAGTATACCCTAGGCAACTGTTCTACCTTGAACCTCATCCTTAACCCCCTACCATTATATTTTTCAATTTAACTTTTGAACTAACATGCATTTATATGAAAAGGTTTCATTTTGATAATTCCACAGATACATGCAGTGTCCTCTGAACTAGTTTACCCCCTCTATTATATTTCCATACTCTGCCTCCCCTCCTCTCTTCTTTTCTCCTTTTTCAAACAGCACCTAGTGAGTTTCATTATGCTATTTGCTATCTATCTATATGTATATTATGTATACATAAATTATATATTCATGAATAAATATGTATACATGTGTACATATATGTAAATGTGTATACCTATATATGTGTAATACCCCCTCCTCTTCGCCCCTTTCCTTTCCCACTTTACACTCATGTCCATTATCATTTTAGGTCTAGATTCCACAAATGAGTGACATGTGATATTTGGCTTTTTTATCTTGTTTTGCCTCTATCTATCTATCTATCTATCTATCTATCTATCTATCTATCTATCTATCTATCTATCTATTTATTTTGGGGTCAGTTGTGGAGCCTAGATGCTATCCCTGAGCTCAAGGCTAATGTTCTAACACTTAGAGCCATAGCACCACTTCTGGTTTTCTGGTGGTTAATTGGAGATAAGTATAACACTGACCTTCCTGCCTGGGCTGGCTTTGAACTATGAGCCTCAGATCTCAGCCTCCTGAGTAGCTAGGATTACAGGCATGAGCCAACAGTAACCCTGCCTGTGCTTTTGCTTAATCTTGCTCAACATGATGGTCTACAGTGCAATTCATATTCCTGAAAATAACATAGTTTTATTCTTCTTTTTCTGAGTACCGCTACATTTATTCCTCCCTCTCTCCCTCCCTTCCCTCCCTCCCTCCATCCCGCTCTCTCCTCCCTCCCCCCTCCCCTCCCTCCCTCCCTCCCTCCCTCCCTCCCTCCCTCCCTCCCTCCTTTCTTTCTTTCTTTCTTTCTTTCTTTCTTTCTTTCTTTCTTTCTTTCTTTCTTTCTTTCTTTCTTTCTTTCTTTCTTTCTTTCTTTCTTTCTTTCTTTCTTTCTTTCTTTTTCTTTCCATTCCTGGGCTTGAACTCAGGGCCTGGGCACTGTCTCTGAGCTTTTTTTCTCAAAGTTAACACTGTACCACTTGAGCCACAGCTCCACTAACTTTTTGGTTGTTAATTGAAGATAAAAGTCTCAATAGACTTTCTTTCCTGGTCTGGCTTTGAACCATGACCATCAGATTTCAGCCATCTAAGTATCTAGGATTCCACTGATGCCCAGAAAGAAGACATTAGTTTTTAAAGTAGGGCAAATACCTAGTCACATAGTCACTGTGTAAAAACTTCACCCTCTACCTCAGCTTTCAGGCCCTTCCCTATGGGGAGCTAAGGTTATACATCTCTTAGGCATCCTTCCAGAAATATTCTATCTACATAAAATCCTTGGATGTTTGTGTGTGTCTGTCTGCAAGATGGGTGTGCTCATCTAATAAGATATTACTCATAGCTGTGGTTAAATGGTTAAATCAACACCTAGGCTTTGTGTGTGTGTGTGTGTGTGTGTGTGTGTGTGTGTGTGTGTGTGTGTGTGTCCATGTTCAGCTGAACTATGCACTATCACTATATTTTGCTTCTTCAATTGTTTTTTGCTTTCTCTTAATGCAAGAGTTTCCTTGCTTGCTGGCTTAGTTTTTCTAAGTATCAACCACATCCTCCCCGAACTCCGCAGGAAAACACTGAGCCCTTCTCTTACAGTGATGGAACTATCAAAGCTGTTTTCCTTCTGGAAGACGTGACCTGTTCCCCACATCCTGCTTCAGCCTATAGTGGCTTTCCCTCAGGTCCAGCCCAAACCCTTCCTCTTCGCTGTCATTCTGGGGACCCCTACACTTCTTCTGTCTCCTGGAACTCACCTTTCCCTCTTTCCCAGCTTTTCATCCCTCACTTTGGCATGGAGCCCTCTGTCCACTAACTTCTTGAGCTTCACATGTTGGAAAAGGCCCTTTTCAGCATCCTGACCTTGGAGTAGTTTGGTAGAATACAAGGAAAATAATTATCCTGTGATAATTTTGAAGCCATTCACATATTTCTTTTGATTCCCAGAATTACCCTTAGAAGTGTGATTCTGGTCCAATTCACTCCTAAAAGGTGTGCATTCCATCTCTCTGGAAATCTCTGTGATTTGCTTGGTCTTAGAGATGTAATCTTTCCCCGTGAAGCTCCGGGGTGGAGTTTTCTCTCCCACTGTGCTGCCCACTGCAGGTCCTTGCTAGGAAAGTCCAAAAGGTCTGTTCTAGAGCGATTCCCTCCTTTTCTTTTCTTTTTCTTTTTCCTCTTTTTTTTGGACAGTCCTGGGGCTTGAACACAGGGCCTGGGCACTGTCTCTGAGCTGCTTTGGCAAAAGGTTAGCACCACTTCCAGCCTTTTTTGTTTATGTGGCACTGAGGAATGGAACTCAGGGCTTCATGTCCTAGGCAAGCACTCTTACCACTAAGCCACATTACCAGCCCATTCCCCTCCTCTTCTTTCTATGGTCTGCTTTCCTAGAACTGACTTTGAATCTCCCATTTACTATTTTGAGTTCATAGCTTTTCCTCTTGAGTCTCCACAAAGAGGTGGTCACAGATTCTGCAGAGAAAAGATAGACTTAAGACATTTTCCTGTACAATAAGAGGACTATGGCAAATCTGAAATCAGCAGGTACTGGTTAGAGACCCAGGAAAGAGATAATGTAGCCTTGAGTTCTAAGGCAGTTTGGAGGCCAAATGTCCTCTTCCTCAGAGAACTTAACTTGCACTGATTAGATGAGGCTCATCCATGTTGGGGGGAAGGTGTAGTCAACTTTACTTAAAAGCTGCCAATTTCATGGTAGTGGTGTGTTTTGGATGGAAAATGCCTTTATAGCAATGTCTAGGTGGTGTTTGAACAACCAGTCAGGTTCCATGGCTGCCAGCATAGCATAGCAATAAGAAGTTGATGAGTCTTCTATTGCTGTTACATCAACTCAGGATGGTCACTATAAATATTTTTATGTATTTTTCCTTGAAGCATAACCAGTGTGCAGCGCTCGGACAATGGGTCATATATCTGTAAGACCAAAGTAAACAATGAAGAGATTGTGTCTGACCCCATCTATGTCGAAGTTCAAGGTAAGTCCAGAGGTCCTGTGACCTGAGAGCTGTTTGTTTTAGAGCCTGTGTTACATGTTTTGTGGGTGACAGTCAAGATTTTCCCTGTTTATAACTCTACAAACCTTGTAAATACATTTGACTGAAATTTTACAAGATGATCCTCCTTTTAGATAATAATGAAATTACTTCTGTTCTTAAAGTTTGAGCTCTATACTAGCACCATAGGTAAGATTAAAAGGGATCATGGCTGAGCACCAGTGGCTTGTGCCTGTAAGCCTAGCTTACTCAGGAGGCTGAGATCTGAGGATCTCAGTTCAAAGCCAGCTTGGGCAGGAAAATCCATCAGACTTTTATCTCCTCTTAACCACTAAAAAGCCAGAAGTGAAGCTGTGGCTCAAGTGATAGAGTGCTAGCATTAAGCAAAACACACACACACACACACACACACACACACACACACACACACACACACACACACACACACACACACACACACACCATGGACTTCCTTGTCTACAGTTACTTACAATTTGAAAAGAAAAAGTGAAAGACTTCTTGTGAAGCAAAGTATCAAACTGTGGCATTAGCCATCCAATCCGGTGGCATTACCTGCTATTCACCATCCTTTGCCATCTTGCAGTTGCAGAACACAGAAGGCTCAGTGTGTTCCCAGCTCAGCTTGGGGACTGCTTTGGTAGCTTAAACTCCTCACTAGTTTTCCCACATGTGTAATGGAGAGGAAACTCCATCACACAGATACCATGGCATCACACAGAGGTGGGTTGGGGGTTGGGAGGTGAGGAGCAATGAAGGACCTGACAGTGAGAAATGTGGGCTGAAGTGCCTATGAACCAGGCCTTGAGTTAGCTCCCTGAGTCTAGGGGTTTGCATGCTTGGTTTTGCTGTGACCTTAGGGCTTGTCAAAAAAAGAAAAGACTGTAAGGAGGAATGGCCTTGTTATTTTCCCAGGTGTTGCTCCTCATGCCCTGGATGCTGTCCTCCATGACATCTGCAGCCTTCTCCATGATGTTCCTGTCAGCTCAGCTATCCAGTTTCCTTCTTGTCTATTTTCTCTTGTCGAACTCCCACTGAAAGGCTTTATACCACCGATCCTTTTGTGAACCTAGCTTCGATACCCACCAGCACTGCAGGGGAACTGAAGGAGGAAGTCTGGGAGAAGGAGGCAGGAGTGGGAGAGTTGGGACACAGGAGCTATAGGAAGGGAGACCCTCCAAGGACTCCCTATTAGACCTTTGCTCTGGGCCCATCCAGGCTGGACAGCTTGTGCCCCACTTATATCAGCAGTAGCCAGAGGGAGAGAGGGAGGGAGGTTTGCTGCTAATCTGGACCTTTTACTTGCTAGGATCCCAGAAAAATAGCCAGGACAGGAACATGTTAAGTCCAAATAGAGTTTAGAAAAGCTCTGAAACAGGAAAAAAAGAGTCCTAATTCACATACTTCGCACATCATTCCTCCTGGAACCAGATCTGTGAGTTCCTAACCTCAAAAGAACACATTTGAAATGCTTGAGGACAGTCGGCTTGATTTGTTAAAAGTCTGTACACATGCCCCAAAGAAGTACTCACTGATTTTCTCTGAAACGTTCCCAAGCTTCCTTTTGGCCTGGGGTTTGTAACCACAGTAGGAATCTTTAGGATTATAACTGTGCAACATGACTCCTTCCGCTTTGAAAAACCTTCATCCCTACACAAGGTTACAGATGTGTGTGTGTGTGTGTGTGTGTGTGTGTGTGCGCGTGCGCACGCACATGAATACACTCGTGTGTGTGCATGTGCATCGAGGTTTGAACACAGGGTTTTGCGTATGCTAAGCACTTGCTTTACCACCAAGCCACACCCCTAGCCTAGTATACAGATTTTTAAAAATTCATTGTCACTCACCTAAAATCACATACCATAGATTGTCCCGAAAATTCAGGCAGATCTGTTACATGTCTTTGTTTTTCTTTTGTGCTCGTTTTGTTGAAATGTTGAGTCTGCCAACCAGTCTCAGATCTTCAAGACTCCCTTCTGGCAAAACCAGTTTTGAAACACCTTTTCTCTTTCTGGAAAGTGTCCTAGAAAGCCAGCTCAGGGTGGACTAGTAAGAATGAGTCTCTATACTTTTTACCTGACTTCATGAATGTGGAAGACTGGCCACTTTAGAACCAAGGTGATATTTAAAAAACACCCTCAGTGGCTTATGCCTGATTACCTTAGCTACTCAGGAGGTTGAGGTCTAAAGAATCAGAATTCAAGGCTAGCCCTGTCAGGAAAGTACTCAAGACTCTGTCTCAACAGGAAAAAGCTGGGTTGGTGGCATATGTCTGTCAGTCCAGCTATTATAGGAAGTATAAATGGGCAAAATCACAGACCATATTGCAAAAATGACCAGAGTGAAAAGGACTAGAGGCATGGCTTAAGTCACAAATCACCTGTCTAACAAATGTAAAGCCCAGAAGTCAAATCCAAGTACAGCCAGTTTGTTTGGGGTTTTTTGCTACCATATACTAGTCCCTTTCCATTCGCCCAAGCGACCTGCTTCTGGTTAAGGATCTGGGGCTTGCTGTAATGGAATCCTTTCTCTGCAGGACTTCCTCACTTTACTAAGCAGCCTGAGAGCATGAATGTCACCAGAAACACACCCTTCAACCTTTCCTGTCAGGCTGTGGGCCCACCTGAGCCTGTCAACATTTTCTGGATTCAAAACAGCAGCCGTGTTAATGAATGGCCTGAAAAATCCCCCTCCATCCTAACTGTTCCTGGTAAGTGCAAGCATTGTGCATATTCATTAAGTTGCTTCTCTAGCAGGGGAAGGAACCCGCTTGGTGAACATTGCTGTGAGCTACCAGCAGGTGTGGGAGAATGAAAATACAGTGTGGCAATTGAGAGCAAGAGACCAGGTAGATAGGAAAGCAGGTGGGACTCACAGGTGTGAGAATTTCTGGTCGAGTTGGCTGAGTGCCCTTCAATTGTGTGGACGGTTGAGTTGGCCACAGGACTAGAATCCTTGAGACCAGGTGGCTGGAGCCCTGCTTACCTCTCTCAAGGCAGCTGTGGTCTTGCCAGCTGGTCTTGTCAGGTCTGCACTTACAGAACCGCTAAGGTGAAGACCTCAGTGAAGTTGAATGGGTAGCAGGAAAGTCGATTGGTCATAGGGCACTGCTGTGGCAGGAAGTTTGTGAGTCACTGTGGGATTGTGGCTGAACTAGCATTTCACAGTCATCTTGACTTGCATCCAAATGAGAGTGTGATAGCTCTGTTCCTACACTCCTCCACCAGGATTTTGTCAACAATGCCACTGACACTTTCCACACTCTTAAAGCTGATGGCTTCCTGTACCTGCTCATCCAAGCACTCCTTGCAGCCCCACTCCCTCCCTCCTTCCTCTCCTTCTGCATTTGGCCACTGTTTAGGAAGATTCTAATCCAGGAGAACACAGCAGTGGAGTTTGGGAAACTCTATTTTGGCTTTCTTCTCTTTTGTCAGAGGAGGGTTTCTGAATGTCAGGTGCCTACCCTGCTTCTTTTCATGCTGAGATCCTCCTTCCTGGCAGAGTTCCTTGGCCGGCTTCACTATCAGCAGTGTGGTGATAACCTAGAACTCTCTATCTTCTGTCAAACCCTCTCTTTTTTCTGAGTCACAGGTTCAGGTTCATGTACCCAGCTGCCTCCTTGACATTTCTATTTGCTGAGGGCTTAGAAATCTTCCAGTGTAACTCCTAATTTCCCCCTAGCCTTGTGCCCACCCAGATTTCCCCTTCTTAGGAAATCATAGTTCTATTTGCCCCTACTTCCCTTCTTCATTTGTCACATTGAAAGTGTCAGCAGTTCTGAGTTGTGCTTCTGCAATACAGCCATTTCTGCAGTTGACCGTCAACTCCACACCATCCCCAGCCCTTGTCAACACTACTGCAGTAGTTTCCAGCTTTGTCCCTGCTTCTGTCCACCCCCCTCACCTGCAGAGGGCATCACTACTTGCTCAGAGCTCTCAGTAGCTTCCCATTACTGTCACTCACAGCCTTCCGTGGCTTGCCATTTGCTTCAAATGTCACCTACAGTCCTTCCTGCCTTTATCCATAGTCCCTGCAAGTTCTCCCACCCAACCCCATTTCACACCTCCTCTGTGTCTGTTAAACCAGTCACAGGATTCTTCTTTCTTCCGTCTCTTCCCAGAACCTTTGCGCTGCCTCTCCTATCAGCCTACTCTGTTCTTCCATCTGCCCTTTGTCCCGTAATACAACTGCTGGACAGAGGCCTTCTCTGATGGCTCCTTACTATTTTCTGTCCTCCCTAGCCCATTATTGGCTGCCAGTCACATATTCTGTGTGTTCCCTTCAGTGTACGTGGTACTGCCTGCGATCACTTGTTTACTGGCATGGTCTCCTAGTGTCTGCTCCAGATGTAAAGCTAGCTTTTCTCCTTCCTAAATAACTAGAATTCCCAATATGAGCCATGGGTGCCTAGTCAGAAAAGCCAATTTTTTTTTTTTTTAATAATAAGTAGGCACGCTGATTTATTAAAACAAAAACTTCTTTGAATTTTTTATAGTACTGAGATTTTTGAACTCAGGGCCTCACACATGCTAGGCAGGCTTCCTACCAATTGAGCCATAAACCATAGCTAGAAAAGCCTATTTTTAAAAGCTGAATGTGGTGACCAGTGCTTGTAATCCCACAACTTGGGAGGCAGAGGTAGAATGATTCAGAGTTGGAGGTCAACCTAGGCTTTCTAGCAAGATCCAATCGAATGAAAGAGAGACAGATGGAGACAGAGACAGAGACAGACAGACAGAAATGAGACAGAAAGGAGAGAGCCAGAAAAGAAAAAAGGAAAGGAAAAACCAACTTATTACTTGGAGGTAACACTGACATATGGTTAGATGCATGGAACATAAGTGAACAATTTGTCTTTGATAGGATACCCACATAGCTATCACCTCTGTCAAGAAAGCGGGCATTGCTATCACCTGGGAGGTTCCTTCTTGGTCCCTACCAGTCAGGCACACCTCTAGTAGACAGTGCTCTTGATATTTGTCGTTGTACACTGGTTTGGACCCTTCCTAAACTAGATAAATGGAATGTGAAGTACATGTGTATGTGGCTTCCCTTGCCCAGCATGATAAATTTTGGACATACTGGGATTTTAGTTAACTTAGGACCTCGTGCTTCCTAGACTGGCCCTCTAGCACACTTGAACCATTCACTCAGCCTTTTTGTTTGTTAATTAAAGATAAGACTCTCGCCTATTTGTCTGTCTGGATTTAGCTTCAAATCATAATCCTCCAGGTCTGAGCCTCCTGAGTAAGATTACAGGCATGAGCCACTGGTGCCTGACCAACATATGTTTGTTTTGTTATTGCTGATAGTTCTTTATTGAGTGAATGTGATATGTTTGTTTATACACTTACTTAGTGAACATTTGGGATGTTTTTGGGTGTTGGCTATTATGAGTGAAATAGCTATAAATATATGCATGTAAATCTAGTGACGTGTGTATGTGTGTGTGTGTGTGTGTGTGTGTGTGTGTGTGTGTGTAAACGTGAACATGCACGTGCCAGTTCTATGGCTTGAACTCAGAGTCTGGGTGGTGTCCCTGAGCTTTTGTGCTCAAGGCTAGCACTCTACCACTTGAGCTATAGCTCTACTTCTGGTTTTATTTTTGTTTGTTTGTTTGTTTTCTGTTTTTTGCTTTTTTTTTTAATGCCAGTCCTGGAGCTTGAACTCAGGATCTGAGCATCATCTCTTAGCTTCTTTGCTCAAAGCTAGTGCTCTACCACTTGAGCCACAGCTCCACTTGTGGTGTGTGTGTGTGTGTGTGTGTGTGTGTGTGTGTGTGTGTGTGTGTGTGTGTGTGTGTGTGTGTGTGTGTGTGTGTGTGTGTGTGTGTGTGTGTGTTTAATTGGAAATAGAGTCTTCTGGTTTTTTGGTGGTTACCTGGAGATAAGAGTCGCATAGACTTTCCTGCCCTGGCTGGCTTTGAACCAAAATCCTCAGCTCTCAGCCTCCTAAGTATCTAGGTTTAAGGCATGAGCTACCAGCCTCTGCTTGACATTTTTTTTTGTTTTTGTTGTTTTATTTTAATGTTATTGTCAAGGTGATGTACAGAGGAGTTACAGTTACATAAGTAAGGTAGTGAGTACATTTCTTGTCTAACTTGTTACCCCACCCTCATTTTTCTCCCTCTTTCCCTCTCCCCCATCCCCCCCCAAGCTGTACAGATCATTTCCAACATATTGTTTTGTGAGTATCGCTATTGCATAGGTTCTCCCTTTGTCTTCTGTCTCACCATTTTGTTGCTCCCCTTCACTTCCCTAGTTCAGATAAATGTCTATACAGTACCAAGTACCAAAAGCAACTACAGTAACAACAGGGGATAAACCATAGGGGAAAAATCACAAAAGAAAAAAAGAAATTATATAGTACATTAAGAACAACAACAACAAAGAAAAAACTCTTGGAGTTCATTTTGCTTAGCATCATCTTATATGGTCATAGGTACATAGCTATTGAGATATTCTGCTCATCTGCTAAGATTATCCTAGATGTATACTAATCATTACAAATAAGGGAAACCATGGGGCCTATGTTTCTTTGGGCCTGGCTTACTTCACTTAATATAATTTTTTCCAAGTCTTTCCATTTCCTAACAAATGGGGCAATGTCATTCTTTCTTATGGAGGCATAGAATTCCATTCATATACATACATATATATATATATATATATGTCTGTATGTATGTATCACCTTTTCTTGATCCATTCATCTACTGAGGGGCATCTGAGTTGGTTCCCTATCTTTGCTATGATGAATAATGCTGAGATAAACATAGTTGTGGGGGTAGCTTTAGTGTGGCTTTGTTTGTGGTTATTTGGATAAATGCCCAGAAGTGAAATTGCTGGGACATTTGTTTTTGTCTAAAATAAATATGCAGTAGAGGAATTCTGAGTCATTGATGTATGCTTCTTTTTTTCACCCCCACCCCCCAGTTCTATGGCTAAAACTCAGGAACTTGCACTCTTACTCTGCTTTTTCACTCACAGTTGGTACTCTATCACCTGAGCGCTGTTTCTAGTCTGGCATTTTGCTAGTTAAATTGGGACAAAGTCTCATGGACTTTTCTTCCTATGTTGGCTTTCAACCATAACCCAAAGACCTTAGCCTCCTGAGTAGCTACAATGGTAGTGTAAGCTGATGGCACCTAACTGTTTTCAAATGTGGTTTTACCAGGTTACATTGCCAGCCGTAGTAGGTGAGTCTAAGTTACTCCATCAACTCCTTGACAGTGTTGAATGTGGTCAGTCATTTCAACTTTAGATATCCTAGTATCCATCCTCATGAAGTGGAAGATGAGTATGCTGTAATTTGTATTTATTTCCCTAATGCCAGTTTTACATTATATTTAGAAAATATTTTAGCATCTTTTCTTATGTTTAAAAATTATTTTGATAGCCTTTTAGGTGAAGTGTCCTTTCAGATAATTTTCCCATAACAGTGTGTGTGTGTGTGTGTGTGTGTGTATGTGTGTGTGAGGGAATACAGGGAAGGTTAAAGAAACTTTAATCTATATTTATTTCAAAATTTAAAAAAGCTTTCTTGCCCTTTTAACTCTCAATTAGTTTAGCTAAATGTAATTACAGATTTTAGCTCTAATCATCTGCTGGTTATCTGAGATTTCAAATAGAACTCTTAGAGATGAAACGAAAGTTAAAATTTTTTATTTTACATAATTAATGGATACTTTTGATATATATTTTTTGCCAGTCC